GAAAGCAGACAGGAGTTCTAACCTAGCAGCCTAAGTTCTTGGGTTCGAGCAAAGATTGAACAAGAAAACTTAAACAAAACAAAACAAAAAACAAAATCAACCTCCCCCAAACCAACAGTAACCCAAATCCCCCTAACTGTTGAAGACGTTCAGGTGGTAGCAAAAAATAGAACAATTCTCAAAAATACCCAACTTTGGGGTTCTATGATGGGATTAACAGTTATTAGTTGAGAAACAGACATTAAAATGACTCATTGCAAGTGATATATTAAATAACCATTGACCAAATGTCAAAGCTTAAAATACCCTCTTCCCCCCAACCCACCCTAATCCAAATGAGAATTGAGGTACTAATTTTTACTGTTCCACTAACACATAATGGACAGGGGATAAGGTATCTCAACGAGAGGCCACGCGGCATAGTAAATCGTGGAACACTCAACTACAGATTTGGACATCGTTTCCAACGTAAGAAGCATTGGCCTTAAAAATTGGAGAATTGCAAGTGTTTGTTTAAAAGCATTGTATAGCTAGGTACTGACTTAATTTTGTTAAATTTTAACAAAAAGGAAAAAAAATAAATCAACATTGACACACACAAAAAAACTACTAAAGAACAAAAAAGTGTTAAAGGTTGGTGAAACCCTCCCAAAAATCTCTGTAGAGTCACACACAAACTAATGAATAGCAGGATCTATTTTTTCAGTTTTTACAATTCCACATAAATACCCCACTCCACTCTTCTCGACGTGTCTTTTCATTTTAAAATTGAGCTTTTGAAATTGCAAAAAATAAAAACTGTTAAACTTAATTTAGAAAGACCCAAATAAACTCACAATTACTCCCAAGTTTTCCAAACTATAAAAATGGTCCATTCTTAAGTTTCCCTTAAACAGACAGCGACATGACAAGACTGGAGTGTTTATTTTTCTCTACCCCAAAAATATTTCTATATTGCTTCCCTTCTCTATGTAGTTTTCCATTTCTATGTAGCTTCCTTTTGTCTTGTAAATACTAATAAAGTGATTATAGAGTTAAGTCACTGAAAGACTGTTGTTCTTACAAATTATTCACTAGCAAGAATGGCAAGTACTTTGAACAAATATTCAAAAATAAGATTTAATGAGATGTGTGCAGAGTTCAGTACTTAACAATGACCCTTACCTTTTTGGCAGTCAAGGAAACCTTTTTAAAATGCAATACTTGATTTTTCTTTTTTACATTTTTTGTTAGCTAGAGAATCTGTGATCGACTTAATTTTTGTGATGTGACTCGATTAAAATAAATCAATGTATAGATTGGCAACCAAATGTAAGTGAAGAATGAAAATTTGCTCTTTACAACTATGTTATGACTGTTTTTCATCTTTTTTGCTTGGTAGTACCTGGTGACCAATCCGTCCTGCTTTGCTCGGGATTGAGGGGTTTCCTGGGACACAGGATTTTCAGTGCTAAAAGGAGAGACGTCCTGAGCAAACTAGGATGAGTTGGTTACCGTAAGTATGAATCAACACTGTGGGTTTGACTGAGTTACCTATGCGTAAGGCTTGATCTATTTAGTAGTGACGGTTCGAATTTTACAAATTACAGAAGCTGTGAAGTAATTATGACCTTCTATGGCAGACTCCACTAATAATTATGATATACAGTCAGCTCTCCAGTATCCATGGGTTCTGCATCCATGGATTCAACCAGCGGTGGATTGAAAATATTCAGAAAAAAATTACATCCGTACTGAACATGTACAGACTTTTTTTTGGTCATTATTCCCTGAACAACACAGTGTAATAACTACTTAGAGAGCATTTGCATTGTATCCAGTATTATAAGTAATCTAGAGATGTTTCAAATTATATGGGAGGACGTTTATAAGTTATATGAAAATACCATGCCATTTTTAAAAATGGACTTGAAAATTCATGGATTTTGGTTTCTATAGGGGATCCTGGAACCAATTTCCCATGGATACTGAGGGAAGACTGTATTCCCTCATATTTAGCCACTTTTTTCCCTTTTGGTTGCTGTGCATAACTACCCAATGATACCATGGAATGTAAAATTCCTGGTTCCTTTCTTGATCTTTTTGCAGATGCTCAGGTATAAAGGTTGGGTTGATTAAATACTAACTGGTTGTCTCTGCTGGCTTGTAAATTATAGGAACAGAAGCCACACTGGCTGGTACTCTGGCTGCAGTTTTTATTAAGTGCTTAAACTAGCAATAGATAGTATTTGGAGCAGTATTGAGGCTCTGTTGCAGGGATAATAAAGTAACCATGGGATGACTGGGATCCACACTATTGGACTGAAGTTCTGGGTGAGGGCTGCCATTTATTACATGGCCACTGTGTACAGTTGTGCAGATTGGGCACTGCAGAACTCAATGGGTGCATTCACATTTTTGTGTATGTGCAAGGTGTTTCCTGTATTACACAGTCTCCATAGCTGACTGTAGTGGCTTGTTCTTTTAGAACCTGGTAGATGTAGCAGGGCCTCATGCTCTCTGGAGAACTCCCATTCCTAGGCAGTAATAAAGGAGACAGTACAGAAGAAGGTAGATCTACCACCAGGTACTGATAAATCCCAGAGGCATGCATGATCTGGCTTTCTCACTCATCTCTCAGCCTACTTTACATATTCCCTAGGGATGATATCATTTACCCCCCCAAATTCTAACTCTTAGGAGTTTGCTTCGGATGCTCCATTTAATAAAAGTTCCTTATTTCAACTAGAGTAGTGATACACATCAAGCTGTGTGTATTCAATTGAATCTTTCTGCTGATGCCTAACAACTGGCATTCTAATTTCACAACTAAATGAATCCTATCCACAGAGAGAAATCTACATCAAGAGCCCCCATGCATTTCCATGAAGAGACATCTCTTCTTCAGCACCTTCCATCACAGGTTTTCTTTTTTAATCAGTGTCTTGTCTCTAATTTTACTCCTGAATGTCCTTCGTCTTATACTGGTGAGGAAAAAGTGGGGTCAATAGCAAACTATGTAGCAGTTTCTTAATCTGGGCAGATGATAGAACAGAGACACTGAATGTAGGGTGAAATGACTTTAGAAGAAATGAAGATTATTTGGAAATAAGACCAGTATTTTCCAAATATCACCTGAGATACATGCTTTATGAGGTTGATTTGAATGGTGATTATAGTTAGAATTTTTTTCTGATACACAGGTAATTCCTTTTCAAGAGGTTATGATAGGATGTACTGTTTCCAAATGTATTACAAAGGAGCATGTTGGGCAAGGTGAAAGGAGGGATTTTTGTCTTACTTTTTTTTTTTTAAAAAAAAACACAACAATTAAACAAATACTGGGTATGATTTATCTCAACTAATAACTATTACTCTCTTTACTGCTCTCAAGTAAACCTAAATGCAGGAAGATGTTAGAGAATACAACAGTGGAGAACTTGGTGGTAGGTGTGGGCAGAAGGCTACTCCTTTTCCCTCAAGTCTTACCCCAATCTTTGTTATTCTTTCATGATTTTCTGTGTGGAAACTCACAGCAATTATATGATTATTTACACTGTTCCACAAGGGCATGCATCACCATCAGTACTGGACAGGAATTCCTGGGAGCATCCGATAAATAGAATTTGCGATCCAAAAGAAGTTGTATTTCCTGATCAACAAGGGTGTTGCAAGATGTAAGAATATAGTCTTGTTGGACAGAAATGGACATGGCAGTAGAATTCACCGAAATGCAAGTTTACCTCTACTTAGTAGTTATAGTTGCAAAATTATTCCACCCACTTTCATATTCTGTTTAAGAGCAACAGAGGAGAGATCGTGCAAGCACTGTGTTAGAGGTTAAGTCTCTGCATTTGCATTTGCTTTTCCTTCAGCTTCAATTCTCTTTCCTCAAATATTTGTGGGGCTGACTACCTATCATTTGAACTGAAACTCAGGGAAAACTTCTTTGATTGTCTAATGTCTCTCCTTCTCACTTAGTCACCACTAAATGACATTCTCCATGGTATTTACCAGTGTCTGAAGCTCTCTTATTTATCTGTTCACTTGTTTACTATCTAGGCCTCCCCATTGGGATGCAGGTATTATAAGAGCTGGTACCTTGTCTGTCCTTCTCATTAACATGTCTGATTTCTAGACAGTTGCTCAATGACCTAGAATGAATGAGTGAGTTCCATACTAAAGTAATAAATCATCATGATTATTGCTAAAAATTACTTGTACCCGTGTTATCTCTAATTGACTTGATATTCAGGGTAAAGCAAAAGACTCTATTTAGAATGAATGTTTGGAACAAAAATGAATTACTTTATATCTCCATTTTCTTTGTTTTAATAAATATTTCCAAACATGTACTGGCTTTCACCTCACCCTGTGTATCAGAAGTATTGATAGATAAAAGCCATTTTAGGTAGCAAGAAGACATGGAAAAGGGACAAGAAATTAAATGTACACAGAGGTAAGAGGAGAAAAAACTTGAATATGAACTGGGGCTGTTTAAGGAGACAGTCTCATTTTTGGGTCTCTAGTATTTTAGCTCGGAATGGGATTTTAGGTACCATGTTTTGTGGTTTTTTTTTTTTTTTCCACTGCATGTGATAATGTCATCATTTATTTTTAAATGGTTCTAAATTGCAGATTTAAGTTGATTTCAAATCAACCCTATTTTTAAATTACTTTTAATAGGAAGAAATGAAGCAAGGACATACATAATCTACTATATTTGAAGGACTCAAACAAATACATGTTTGGCTGTGAATTCTGTACTCTCACCAAAACAGAGATAAAAATCCACCTAAAATACACTTTCCTTCATTTAGTCCTTGTGGGAGAAGGTCAAGTATTGCACTTTAAAATTACTTTCATCTAACATTTGTCCCAACTTTCCCCCTGAATTCACTATATGTTTTCAGGAAACATGATTTTATAAATTTTAAATACAAAAGCAACTAGGTTTTCTAATTCAACTTTGGAAGGTTTACTTTACTGAGCTATTTTTGTAAAATGGCATATTTACTTACAAAATTGAGAGATAGGGGCATCCAGCTGAGGCACATTTCCTCCCTTGGCGTTGAGTTTCTGGACTTGGGTCGGGGGCACAGGCTTGTGTGACTGCCCCGTGGCCCGGTACATGGCCTGGACCCACAGGATGCGGTCTTGTTCATCGTCACTGGCAAATATCACGGTGTCTCCCTCTTTGACGGCATTGAAGAAGGCTCGGCCACCCTCCAAACCTGGAAGAAAAGGGAGTAACAACTTCTACTAAGCTGAGCTGTGATGTTCTCAACTGGACTCAGTCCTTGAAAGAGCAGTTTCTGCTGCTTTTCCTTGGGACAGAAGAACGGGGGTAGCAATTAACCTAGGATGGGAAATCTGAGACTCACTTGGCCACAGAGTGGGACCGTGATGTTGAAGAAGTATTTCTGAGCCTGGATCTTACCTTTTTGTGTCCTGATGGGGATAGAACTGTCAAGCAGGCTGCCTGCTTGGGGGACGCTTATAAACATACTACTTTCTCCCTCATCTTTAAACACAAACAGAACAACAACAAAAACCTCTCTTTACCCCATCTCTCCCTTCAGCTACTGTCCTATTGCTCTTCTCTTTACAATGAAGGGAAATCTCTACCAAGGCTTTTCCAATTTTAGTACCCATATGAATCCCCTGGGCATCTTGTTAAAATGCTGCTTCTGATTCAGTAGGTCTGGAACTGAGCTTGAGGTGCAGCATTTCTAAGAAGCTCCCAGATGATGCAGATGGTGCTGGTGTGAGGACCCCATGTTGAGTAGCAAGGGTCTCTTCCCTCCTTTTCTGCCTTACAACGCCTCCAATCAGGCTGCTGCCTCACTGAAACTTGTCCAGGTTTCAGTGGACACATTGTTGAATGACCAGTGACCTCCACATTGCTGAATCCAATGACTGATTCAAAGTCCTCATTTTATTGGGCCCATCCACCTATCAGCAGCATTTGCACTCCCCTCTCTTCAAGATGCTTTCTTTACTTAGCTTTCTGGAACCCTTACTTTCCTTCTACCTTCCTGGCCGCTGTTCCTCAGTCTTGTCTGGTGGCTCCTCCTCTTCCTGATTTTTAAATGCTGGCATGCCCCGGCCTTCCGTCCTTGCCCTTCTTCTCTTCTTTAGCTACACCCTCTCTCATAGTGATGCCATCCAGCCTTTAAGTACCATGAGTACGCTGATGGCCGTCACATTTCTCCCTCCAACCTGAACCTCTCCCTTGGACTCCAGGCTTGAATATCTTTCTTGACTTCTCCGCATGGATATCTGATAGACATCCCAAGCTTGTGAAACCCAACACTGAACTCCTGGTCTTTCTGCCTGACCTCCTCAGCAAAGCTGAGCCCATCTCTCTTGCTGCTCAAGCCCCCAATCTTGGGGTCAATTTTGACTCTTTACTTTCTTTCACTACCCACTTCCAATGAATCATGAAATTCTGATGGTTCTACCGTTAGGACATTACCAGAATTTGACCACTTCTTCCATCTCCAGTTGCGTCCATCAAAAATGTACCCATGATCATCCCTGGATTATTTTAATAGCCTCCTATCTGACCTGTCTGCCTCTGTCCTCACAAGGCAGCCAGAGTCCTGAATTTAGCACTAGAGTCAGGTCATGTCACTCTTCTGCTCAAAACCTGCCAGCAGTTCTGTGTTCCACTCAGAGGAAAAGCGTTGGTTCTGACAAGGCTTGAAAGGCCCCCATGAACTGGTCCTCTGCCACCTCTAACCTCCTCTCTTAATACTCTCTCTCTCCCTCTATGCACACATGTACTCACTTCATTGTAGGCACACTGGCCTCTTGCTGTTCCTTGAACACTCAGGCATGTGCTCACCTCAGGACTTTTGCAATTGCTTTTCTCTGTGCCTGGAGCACTCTTCTTTCAGGTATCTGCATGATTCACACCTTATCTCCTTTGTGTCTTTTCCTAAACATCACATTTCTGTTGAGACCTTCCTTGACCTCCACTTCTTGTGACCTATCTCTTATCTTGCTTAATTTTTCTTTATTGCTCTTATTACTTTTTAGCAAACTACATAATTTGCTTTGCTTCATACGTGTAGGTAGTTTTTGTCTGTTTTGCTTACTGCTGTATCCCTGGTGCCTAGAATAGTGCATGGCACATAGTGGGTATACAAATAATTGTTTAATAAATGAATATGCTCTAGATCCATCTGTTTCCATGGGCAATTCTCAAGGTTAAAATTTAGAGAGAAGTAGGTGGAAACTTCTCTTTCGGTTTGGGCCAAAGCTATGTTGTGTCCATCAACATATTCCAGAAGCCTGTGTTTTAGATCACTGGGTACTCTCTAGCTGGAAATAATACTTCATATCTTCATCAGGTTCCTCATCACCTCCTCAATTATTAAAAACTAAGAGGGGAATGAATGAGTGATTAGCATCCTCAAATTTCCAATGAGGTCCGGCCAGTAATCTGTTTGATATTTGTCATTGGAAAAGATTTCTGGTAACATTAAGACTTCTTCATTGTGCTATTTATTGAGGTGTCTATGCTGCAAGCACGGGTGTCTGTTGGTAGTTTTGCACTTGGAATGGCCAGGGATTTAGGACAATAAATAGCTACCTCTTTATATGGAGGGTCTGATAATATCACACTAATAAAGCTTTACTAAAAGATTTTTGGTGACTTTTATTATAAGGGACTATTTTGCCTAATTTTGTATGGAAAGTTTTAAAATACGTAATTTGGTACGATGATGTGTAGCTAGCAAGCTGGGAAAACCTGATAAACCTAATGAACAGCACAATAAAAAGGAAAATTCTGAAAGGGGAAGGAGGAGGAAGAAGAGCTCTGAGAGTTGCTTTAAGCCTGAAAAGTGAGCAATAAAGAGTTAAAAGGAAGAGAGGATCAATAGACCTGTAGCCTAGTCTCGTGGTATCCTTAGGAATAAGCTATTTTGCTACAGTCAGGGAATGCCAGGACAGACATGACCAGGCATCACTTTTACTAGCCCCAAGCCTTCCCCCTCCCCCAGGGTCTGCTGCTGGGGTGGGGATACTGTATTTCTGGAGCTACTGTCAGAAAGTCAGTTCATGGAGTTACTTTGGGGAAGTGGACAGCCCTCTCCACTGTGCAGTTATTTAGATGTAGAGATGGAAAGACATGAGGAAGTTTTTATATTTTTATTCAATCCTCCCAACAGCCTTATGATGTAAGTACTATTATTCCATTTTTACAGATGAGGAAACTAAGTCATGGGGAAGGTGGTAACTAGCCCATGGACACAAAACTGGCTTGTATGTGTCAGAGCTGGCTTTTGACCTCTGCTGTTTGACTCCAGAGCTGATGACTATAACCATTGTGCTACACTGCACCAAAGCATGAATCCAGGGCCTGGCCCTCACTAACAGCTCTCTTAAGAGTCATTATGAACAATAAAATGAAGCCTAATTTTGGAGTGAGTAAGGGCAAAGAGAAACATCTAAAGCAACAGCAGCAATGACAAGCACAGCAGCAGAAAGCAACAGGGCTTTTTCAGAAAGCACCAGAGGCTGAGGACACACCAAAGAAAGCAAGAAGGAGATAGAACAGCGACAGATGAAAGAGAGCCAAGAGAGGAGAAAGCAAAGTGAACATCCACAAAGTGAAGACCCACATGTGCTGCAAGGCCATCAGTCTTAGAAAAAGCAACAATTCCTGGGGACTGAATCTGAAGAATGTGATGTGTGACCTTGCATGGGCTCTCCTTGGAGAACGAGGGGCACAGTCCCACAGGTCAAAGACAAAGACACGTCTGGGAATAGATGGAGGCAGACCAGGCAAAGGAATGCTGGCCAGCTCTCTAGGAGAAACGGATTTCACTTCCAACAACTTGCATGGCCGAGGTCCATTTATGAGGGTAAAAAAGGTCTTTATGAATCGTGTAAGAATAATTTAGTTGTTTGATAAACTGTGGCATTGAATTATTCTGAATTAATATTCTTTTATTTGAAGACTTCATTATCTAATCGGATAGAAATTGAGAGATTGTCTCAAACTTTCCAAACCATACACAGGGAAAGGTAAAGTGAAGCATTTTTAGTTTTAGCTTAAAAGGAGTAGCTTGTAAGTGAAACTTACATTGCCAATTCACCAAATTAAACATCAAGGACCCAAACAGGTAGAGTTTATTTAGTGAAAATGCTTGTGTCAGGGGGAACCACCTAGACTGTAGGCTGGTACTAAGGCAACAATATTTGGTTGCATCCCTCCCTTCCACGGCAGAGAGCAATAGGCCACAGGGGTTCTTAGCCCATAAAATCACCACCAGTGGGGTCCACTGACAACCGGGATAAAATCAAGAGAAAGAGGGAGAGAGATAGAGTCTGAAGTCCTCCCCATTTGCACACTCACCTTTCAGGGAGCAGTTGAGGAGACTCCTCAAATCTGAGGACATTGGTTAAAATGCTTGGCTCTCCAGCTGGCAAATGTTCAGGAATCCCCTGCAGTGCTTATTTAAATACAAAGATTCTGACCTCTTCCTCTTTCTGGTTCACAGGTTAGAAGTGGGGCTCAGGAACATTTATTTTTAATAATTACTTTTTTGTTGTTTGTTTGAGACAGAGCCTCTCTCTGTCGCCCAGGCTGGAGTGCAGTGGTGCAATCTTGGCTCACTGCAACCTCTGCCTCCCAGGTCCAAGCGATTCTCCTGCTTCAGCCTCCCGAGTAGCTCGGATGACAGGCGTGTGCCACAACATGTGGCTAATTTTTGTATTTTTAGTAGAGATGGGGTTTCACCATGTTGGCCAGGCTGGTCTTGAACCTCTGACCTCAAGTGATCTGCCCACCTCAGCCTCCCAAAGTGCTGGGATTACAGGCGTGAGGCACCGCACCTGGCCAATAATCACTTTTTTTTTTTTTTTTTGAGATGGAGTCTTGCTCTGTCGCCCAGGCTGGAGTACAGTGGCGCATGGTCTCTGCTCATTGCAAGTTCCACCTCCCAGATTCATGCCATTCTCCTGCTTCAGCCTCCAGAGTAGCTGGGACTACAGGCACCCGCCACCACACCCAGCTAATTTTTTGTATTTTTTTAGTAGAGACGGGGTTTCACCGTGTTAGCCAGGATGGTCTCCATCTCCCGACCTCATGATCTGCCCGCCTCGGCCTCCCAAAGTGTTGGGATTACAGGCGTGAGCCACCGTGCCAAGTTAGACTTTCCCATGACAACTGGGAGAATTTAAGTCTCCGTTTTCAATCAAACATTTCTTGGGGAATAAATAGGACTTAGCACATGGAAAGATAGAGGAAGCTGCTTATTATTCTCAAGTACATAATTGATTTACATTTTACATCTTTCTACTTACATCTTTCGTAAGGAAATTTATAAATTATATCCTATGGGATCGATGTAAAAAGAAATAAGCTTTAAAAATATATGTGCACAGTTACTCCTTACACATGTAGATAGAATAGCTCTCTCCACTCCTGCCCTCCCCACTGAGGGAAGATAATTTTGCTTTCATCTGATAAAGTAACAACCATAGCTTTGCTATAGCTGTTCATGCAGCTATGCTTTATTGCAAATGCCAAAGCATGACATGGGTTAGACCCGGAGTTCCAGCTCAGCCACCAGGCAGTCTCAAACAATAGCCTTTGATATCTCAGAATCTCAGCTTCTTCATTTACAAAATGGGGTAATGATCCCGGTCTTATCCACTTTGTGGGATTACCATGAGGGCTAAATACAATCACATGGGGGGAAAGGAAAATGAACTGGCTTAAAAGGAATTATTGTCATAAGATGGTATTGATTTCCCTTCTCATACTGGCCCTTTAGCTTCCCATTTTATGTTTTAAAATTTATTAATTTTTACAATTCTTTCTATTTTTTGAGTTGGGGTCTATCTCTGTCACCCAGGATGGAGTGCAGCAGTGCAATCATAGCTCATTGCTGCCTCCAACTCCTATGCTCAAGCAATCCTCCCACCTTAGCCTCCCTAGTAGCTTAGACTACAGGTGTGTGCCTCCATGCCCTGGTTATTTTTAAATTTTTTTTGTATAGATGATGTCTGGCTCTGTTGCCCAGGCTTGTCATGAACTCTGGTCTCAAGCAATCCTCTCGCCTTGGGATTACGGATGTGAGCCACCACGCCTCACCCGAGCCTTCTACTTAAAAATAAAAGTCCTAAGGAGGACTGAATCTGTTTTTCTGAAGGAAACCCAATGACTTAAGAAGAACACAGACCATCACAGAATGCCCTAAGGAGTGGTTTCCTAAGGCAGGAGCCCCATCCTTTCCATGAGAAGTTGCATGAAATTGTTTGTTTCCAACTCGTTGATTCTACTCATTATGAAGGATTTCCAGGCAGAGCATTTAATTCATGCCTTATGTGGTCAGCTCTGTATTCTGCTCCGGCAGGATGCAAATAACATATGAAAGTCCGAAGGGGTGGGGCTGGGCCCAGTCACTCGGTTGAGATTCTGAGGGTGCTAATTTTACTAAGTGGGCTGGGCTCAAGGTCTTCCCTGCCATACCTTTTCAGGTTAGCACCCCATCTTCTCTCAAACTCTGTTTTTCTTTTCTGTGTATTTTGTTGCATGTGGAAGAGCAATATGGGAGTAGAAAAAAAGGTTTTGGGCCAAATAATGCAGTATGGTTGGAAATGCTTTCCTTGTGCAGATTTGGCATAAAAATAAACTTCTCCGGGAGAGGGCTGTTGGTGCTTGTTGTTCATTAATATGCTGAAATGATTTCGCACCCCCCTCCCATTTTGAAGGTTCTTTGAGGCTGATTTCTATTCATTTTTTTTTTCTGGGAAAAAGATAAAATGGGTAGGGGGAGAGGTGCGAGGGGGCAGGATGTAGAACTTATGCAGTGTAGAACTTTTAAGAAATACTACCGTTTGTGTAGTTTTCTTAGTTACATAAGGCTTAAGGGCTTCATTGTCTCTGCTTGTGGATTGGTGTCTTCACAGGAAAAAAGACATTTAGGGAGGGTTTTCAAGTGCTGCCAGCTAACCTTATGAGCTCTTGAATTGTAGTTAGGGAATATGGATATATTGGGCAGGCTCACTTGGTCACTGAAACCTGCCAAGCTCACACATCACTGGTGAAACAACACACACACACACACACACAC